ACGGTCAGAGGCAGACAGAGGGAGATGCGTTGAAAACACCCAGGAGTAGAGTTGGCGTGAATGGAAGTAAAGACGTGAAAGACAATAATGTAAAAGGCTTATTTTTTCGCATGGGGTCCTCCATGTGCGACTGTGGTGTACCGGTCACCCACACGTCGAAAATGATCGTTTCCAATGCATCGGCAATGGAAGAGTAGAGAGGAGGTACCCAACTACCTATCTGGGTTGAGGGATTGTTGGTGGTGGGCGCGCACGCACGATCGTTTTGTGCTGTGATATCGAGAGTCCACAAGTGTAACACCACCACCATCCGGTCTTACACCTTGCAGAAGAGAGGTGACATTCATTCATCCTTCCAAGCGCATGTAGTCTGGTACCACCATATATTACCGTAGACGGCCAACGGATACAAATATGAATGGATATTTTGTCAACCTTTCACCATACTATATATATATCGATCAATTGGAATAGAGGGCTCAGCTCGCCCAGCTCCAGCGCAGCCAAGCGGGGAGATTCGACCATATCTACCCACCCCACGGTCAAATCAACGTGTCATCGTCGGGCCTTCGCGCGGCCCACGTCAGAATTGCAAACGATATAATACCATCAAAGTCATGGCATTGCGACTTCCCTACCGCGGGCCTCGATCGAGTGTGACACCATCACCACACCTTCGTAAAAAACGCTCTTTCTAAACTATTGAGCACTTCTCGTCTGATCCTAAGAATCTCCTCTGGACTGTGTTGAATTTCTTGAAACGAATCGAGCGTCTCGTTAGACGAGCTTCCGGCGGAGGGCGTCCAGTTTCGTAACGCATCATTTCGTTGTCGGCTGGTGGTTAGTTGTTGTACGTTTTATTTTCTTCGCAAAATGCAAACACGTCGGTCTGTCCCTTGTGCAACAAACAACCACATTTTTCATAAAACATTGTTAGAAATAATACAGTGCGACCTTGCATACACCTCAATCTATCGATCTGGGACGATGATGGTGGTGGTGATGATTGCCGTGAATTTAATTTGGGCTATAGGTCCGGACTACTTCTACTACTACTACTGTTGTCACCGATGTGTTGCAGATTCAGGTGGGTTCGCGCCAGAACCTGTCCTGTCTGATGTGTGTTGGAAGACTAGAACTGAAAACGATTTTCACGCACGCACTCACGTGGTTTTGCAGGCGCACAGGAGCCAAATGCATCGATCGATGAATAGCTGCTTGATAACACCTAGCATGTGTGTGCAAAACATACAGGCTGCTGAGATGCTTAGATTTTCTCCGGAAGTACGAGGAGAAAGTTTCCCGCTGGAATATTTGTGTGCGTGCCTCAAAAAAGGCGAGGAAGGTCATATTCTTGCGTTTCGCGAAGAAGAACTTACCCGGCGAAGTTGAACTCGACGTCCTCCGCCGTACACACGCCCAATCAATGAGACGCGCGATTCTTTTCAAATGCGCAGTCCAGCGGAAATGGGTACCGGTACAATTCAATTACAAGTACGCAAGGAGGATCCATCTGAAAAACTAGTGTATACTTGAACTAACTTTACACACGCTCACGCCAATCCCTTCAATTCTTGGTTATTCTGTACGTATCTCCGTCTCTCCTCTAACTGTGTGCGCGCCATGGCGTCCCCCCCGTTAGAACACCCCGTCGCAAAACAACAGCAAAGACGTACGCCTAGACTACAACAGCAGGAGAGTATGCAACTTTTCTATTAATCGTTCTCGGATCAATTTGTTTTTCGGAATGAAAAAATATCCTTCAAGTAACGCCATGCACGTCACATCAACACCCACCACCGTACCCCCATTCATCATTGAAACAGACACCGACACGAATACCACACGAACCCTTGGGGCGACAATAGTATTAGCCGAGAGTCTATTGTACCCCAATTCAGTACTGGATCCCTTGCCGAAGGGGGTCGGTGGGGGGGGTGGGGGTAAACGGATAAACAACAACCGCTTTCGCTCCCCTTGGGACACCAACCACTTCATATAAAATCATATCGAACACAAGACATCACTTCTAATTATCCCTTCCCACACAACAACACATAAGTCTAAAGCAGTTTGTTCATCGTATGGATGATGGATGTGAAGCACCGCATCCACAACAGTGCCCCTCGTATCCCCTACTTATACTATTTCTATCAAGTATTCTATCAACTACAACACCACGAACTTCTTTTCTTGTTCTTCTGCTCCTCCAACATTCGTCACGAACAAGCCATGAACAACGTTGTTTCAAGCCGATTTGTTGCACGTACATCTGCATTGATACACAAATCACCTACATTGACACACAAATCATCTACTCTGCACTTCTACACCTACCCGGCGGTACGAGGCAAGCCGAACAGAACCACGACCCCGCCGCCGCTGCGTGGTGCTCTCTACATGTAGCAAACCACAGGCACCCATCGACATAAAACGACCCGAAAGGATAGCAACCTTCTCAACAGTGCCCCCCTTTCTCAACAAAGAAATAAACGGTAAATTCGCGCTGGTACCGGTGGAAGACCAAACACGCTAACACGGTGCTAACAAAGAGCAACCTTTGGTGAATGACCAAGCACGGATGAGGCCGACAGCATGACAACCGCCTCATACTCCCGTTACAGTAACAACAGCAGTCATTCTTTACTCTCAGTAGACCGGCATGCCGCCAGACAGAATTGACACGCCGGCGACGAAGTGGCTGGGCCCGCAGCGGCGGTACTTGTTCTCCTTCTGCCCGCCCTCGTGCCACAGCTGCTCCACCTCGCTCGCGAAGGCCGCCTGAACCTGCAGCGGCCCTCCCCGAGCCTCGACGACCCCGTGCTCGAAAGATCCCAGCCGCCCGTGGCGCTCGTCCTCCCTACCTCCGGACACGTTGGTCTCGCCCGAGAAGGACAAGGAGGGCCTGCTGCGTTCCGAGGCGGACTCGAAGAGGACGGTACCCGGGTCGCGCACGCGCGGGAGCGGCACGTCGCGAGGCTCACCACCGCCCCAGCGACGGACGCCCGCGGTGAAGCGGCCCCGGGAGCCGAGGCGCTCCGTGGGGCGGGTGGCGTTGATGCGGGCCTCGGCGGAGAGATCCGGCTTGTGGACGGCGGACACGAGGAGCACCTTACCGTGGTCGACCTCGGCCTCGAGCGGTACGTCGCGAGGCTTGCCACCGGCCCAGCGACGCCCCCCTGGCGTGAAGCGGCCGCGGGCTCCGAGCCGCTCCATGGGTCGGACAGCGTTGGTGCGGGCCTCGGTGGAGAGGTCCGGCTTGTGGATGGCGGACACAAAGAGAACCTTGCCGTGGTCGACCTCGGCCTCGAGCGGTACGTCCCGCGCATGGCCACCGGACATGATGCGCACGCCGCGGGTGAAGGAGCCCCTGGTACCGAAGCGCTCGTCGGGGCGACCGCCAGCGACGTTGAAGGTGGGCAGGCCGGAGAGGTCGGGCTTGTGGACGGAAGTCATGGCGCTGCTGTTGTCGTTGTTGATCGTTGTGATTGCGACGAAGCCTGAAATGTAGCGAGGCAGCGGGCGGAGACATCGTGGGCGGGGGGGAGGACAAAAAAATGATGAGATACCGGCTCGCATTGGTTGTTTGGGGTTGATGGGCTTAGTGCGACGTGACGTCGTGAATCGCATACACTGTATTTTGTTCCCGCTGTAAAACGTTCACGCAATTTTCATTTGTGATGACGGAACGACGAAAGCCACACGGGAGGGTAAGTGAGCGCACTACAGTACACATAAGAACATTGCCGTGCAAACGTTGGAAATACTTGAACACAACGTAAGCACAAGGGGGCTGGAGGTGGTCAACAATAGAAAGCAGTAGTAGGCAGCGTGATTTCTTCTCAAGGAGTGCGGAGCTGAGCATGCATCGTATGGTGTGGGGGAACGAACGTAGAAGGCGGAGAGATGGCTCTGGTCGGGGAGGAGATGGAACCAGAGTTCGCAGAGAAAATCAAGAACGACATGATATATTTCGATTCCGCACCGATCGCACCGTGTGCAATTTCGCCGACCCCCAAACCCAAGATTGGACTCTTTTTGAGCTGATGAAACGAGGTACATGTGGGTACACCTTTTGCAAGTGTGCGGAAGGTGGCATCGGAGCGCCACTTCTTCATGTATCTATGTCCGGTCGGTCGCGGTTCACGCAGATTGTCTGTCATTTGTTGTTGTTTCTTCGGTATAGAAGTTGCCAACCGTACACTCAGTTAGCCTAGCACACCACATACAAGCCGCTCCCTACCCCACCAACACAACGATTTCAAATGAGCTGCTGCGTGTAGAGGAACACCGAAACGAAAGAGGGAGAGAACCGGCTGTCGTAGTATGCAGTACTACTGCTGTGTACTCCAGATAAAAACCACATCATTCGTTTGTTGTCCTCGGCACGCCGTAGTCGAACTCGCGTTCAAACCATGACCACTCGCTGCGTGGTAAACTGTTACGTAGGTACCAGCCTACGTTGCCGTTACCGGTGTGCTCCCAGCCAGCAACAACGGTACCTACACCGCGCACGTCTGCTTGTGATAGATACACCATAGTATACTGGTACTGGGAGGCGACGGAGAGATGACACGGGTCGAGGAAATGGGGGCGCGTGCAAACAACACCGCCGAGCACCAGCAGGCCCGCTGTGTGTGTTTCGTTGCGCATCGCACCGGTCGGAGATATGCCTTTTTTCTTTTCTAAGCTTTATTTAAGAAGGATCGCACCGGCGTGCCTTGAAAAAGCGAATCCAAATGTTATTGAATTGCATTCCCGCACCGACCGGTGTCGGAGAGATGGCACCGGTCGGAGAGATCGCACCATCGGCGTGCAAAAAAAAACGAGGAAAAAACATGCGTATGTACCATGATGGTATAAGAAAACGACCGTACCCGGTGACATCTTTCCGCCTTTCGCGGTATCCCATATCGATGGCCAGCTAGGTGAGGGAGAAACATGAGACAGGGCCGGACCACATAATAACAAGTCTAACGTCGCCACACGGCCGGAAACGAAAGTACAGCAGAAAATAATCTTATCTGTGTGGTTATTTAGCTAGACTACACGACCAGGAGAATATAGCAAGCACACGACAAGCACGGCCGCCGCATTGTGCCCTTTTCTCTTTTGTTCATGACACATCTGCGAGCGCGGCGCCTCTACATCGTTCATTGTACGACGGTATAGCAGTGTGGTGGGACAAGCATGAGTCGGAACATCATCACGCGTGTATCTGCTGCGTTTCTACGCCCGGGACTATTCGAGAAAAAGAAGAGCCGGATTGGAGGTTCAATGGTTGAATGTTCAAGAGAGACCACGATCACCTGATCGACGCTGTAAATTGCACCGTGCTCTCGTGGTCTGATCATTCTGCACATTACATATCCTCGATCTTAGAGCGCCCACGAACACTGGATCGGGCGGGTGCTCTGTGGCAGATAGAGCACGGCAGCCTGTTTCTCCTCGACCACAAGAAACAAGGGTGATAGATGTGACGCGATGTTTTCTACCTCGGAGCGGAGAGTCGAACAACCGCCGTCGGATGTCACACCCCCATCATATCTTTAGCCCACTTGAAACAATCGGAGCGGGCAGGCCGTGCTACCGTACATGGGACTCATGGGTAAATGACTGTGCCACGGCGGTAAAGGTAGAGAGGCTACGAGAAGGTCCTTACAACCGCTCACCTCTGGTTGTTTGTACGAACTCGTCGGTGTGTGTGGTTGTTCGTCTCGATTGGAAGCTCGCGAAGGCAGGTGGTGGGTGGTTGGCGTCGCGGAGTCTTGGAGGAGAAGGTGTCTTTGCAGCAGCAGTGGTCGCGAGGTGTTTGTCAGGGAAGGGGGCGAGGACTTGTGTGTGTGGGGTGTGAGTGTGTGTGAGATGTGAGCGAAGCGTGCGTTCGAGGTGGGTTGGATTTGAGTCGGTGCAATCATCCTAATCATTGAACCTGGTTTTTGGTGAAATTACAAAAGCACGAAAGTACAATGGATTTATTGATCCGCTCGCTTGTTCACAAGAACAAACCGGGAAAATTCTCTTGGCGCAGCTTTGGTTTTGGTGAACCACCGGACTGTCACTTCGCCGCGCCGGTGTTCGTTGGCGATTGTTGGCGACCCGAGGTCAAGGGTCCCGAGTCCCGAGTCCTGGTGGTTCCCCGTGTCCTGTTTACACACGAGCGTGTCCCGAGTGAGCACACACGAGGGACACAAACACACAGCAGTAAGTAGTGAGTTCGCTGCGGTGGTATTTGCTTTTTGGGGGCCTGTTTTGTGCTTTTACGCCGGCTGAGTGAGTAGGACACGTCCACGGCCAGACGACGAGAGAAAGCGAATATGGGCCTTCTGGACGAAGACGACGGCGTGGACGCGGACGATGAGATGCATAGGACACGGAGACCCCGGACGGTTGTCACATTTAGACGTCCGCATGTTCGTTACTACAGCATTCGTGGCGTGATAAGTACTGCGGCCCTTTGCAGGGGATGTGTGTGGTGATTTTGGTGGGTTATAGGGTGGTCAAGGTTGATTACACTGGGTAGCCAGTAGCCACCTGTGAAACAGTGTTCACTTTCGAGCAGGAAGACAAGACGCAGCGTACTACCGCTAGAAGGAAGAGAACGATGCGGGGGTACATTCGTGTTTTTGTTGCTTGGTTTAGTAAAAAAAGTCCAAACAGGTTTACACTCTGTAGAATACTGTAGTCTACTACTTACCGCGGCCGTGGCTATGCATGCCACGGACGTCCATAGATTGGGGATATCGCACTTACTGCTGTTTCGCCCAACGCTACCCTTCTCCGTTGCGGATATCGCAAATATTCTTCCTGATCACTACTGAACCTCGTTTTATATTGGCTCCATTGCTGGCGGCGAGGGACGAAAACACAAGCGTACAAGAGGAGCGACTCTCGACAGGAGGCGCTGCAAACGCCATTACTGATCGTAAAGATCGATAAAACATCATGGAAATCATGCAGATGGAGGGATGAATGCCACCTCTCTTCTGCGGTGGTGGTTAAGAGCAGGCGGTGGTGTTGTGCTTGTGGACTATTTTGGCATCACAGCACAAACGATCATGCGTGCGCGCCTACCAGCAGCAATCACTCGACCGAGATAAGAGGCGTGATTATGTTCGGTTGCTCATCCTTTCAACTCTCTCCTATAGTCCAGGCATAGGAATAGTTCATGTTCTACATGTGGGTGACCGGTACTACAGGCAAGGATGGGTATTGAGCCGCGGGGTACGACTCAAACTTAGTAGTCTATTTGCGATGATGCTGGTGTGGCTCGGTCGCTCTTTCGGTACAGTAGTACTACTGTACAATAGTACTGTCGCAAAATACAGGCTCAAGGTTCCGTATTAATCAGGCTAGGTGCGTCTCATCAGTGCAGACATATCAACCTTTTATCTATCTGTGGCGTCTATATCCGAAGATCAGTCAAGCAGTGTGTCACGGCTCTAAAAGATAAGTTCGCGGTATCCAACAGCATCACACATAGCATTCTCACAAGCTCAATATCAGCATATCTGCAGTATCAGGTTCAGCACTCACAGTGATTAGCACTGATGATGGGCGAAGGCACAAGGATATGGCTCAATTGATATTTCACTTCAAGGGCGGGGTTGAGTAAACGCCTTGGGTGATCGAACAACCACCAAGAGGAGGCGTTCGCCCTACCTAGGGGTCAGGGGGCAATATCCTGAAGCCCTCCAGCAGGGTGGGTCGGGGGAACATATTGATCTGTTCAATCCCTTCCCCGATGATGTCAGCGTGCGCCCTCCGAATACTCGCGACCATAGCGAAGTATTCATCATCGTATTTACACAACCACCCGGTGGTGAGGACGACCGGCTGGAACAATTTATACAGTAATGCAACTCATATTTTTGTTGTCTTCCACGTTGTTGGGTGTCCACGTTACACCATACGCTCCTCCCACTCACGCCAAACTAAACCTGTTGTTGAATGTTTCCTACATGAATACAATGTATAGCTCCCTCCATCCTGCTCTAGCAGTGCGCTCCACGGCGCACCTCTCGTATGAACACCCCGTCGCTAAACAACAGCATAGAGGTACGCCTACTCTTCAGCAGTGCATGTACGCTTTTCCATGTTGTTGGAGTGAAAAAATAACCTCCGAGTCACGCCATGCACATCACGTTAAAACCCACCACCTTACCCCCATTCATTCATTAAAAGAGACACCTACCTATAGGACTACCACACAAAGCCCTTTGAGGCGACAATACAATAAGTCCAACCCCCATTTGGATGACGAACCTGCTGTTTACATGTAGCACACAACAGCACCCCCATCGACATGATAAAACGACCCGAAACATGGCAACCCTCTCAACACCCAGTGCTCTCCCTCCCCCCCCCTCTCGAGAAAGACATGAACGGTAAATTCAGCTGGTGCCGGCGGAAGAAGAGCAACCTTTGGTGACCCGACCGACGAAGCATCTATGCATGAGGCCGGCAGCATGACAACCGCCTCATACTCCCGTTACCGCAGCAGTCATTCTATACTCTCAGTAGACCGGCATGCCGCCAGACAGAATTGACACGCCGGCGACGAAGTGGCTGGGCCCGCAGCGGCGGTACCTGTTCTCCTTCTGCCCGCCCTCGTGCCACAGCAGGAGCTCCAGCTCGCTCGCGAAGGCCGCCTGAACCTGCAGCGGCCCTCCCCGAGCCTCGACGACCCCGTGCTCGAAAGATCCCAGCCGCCCGTGGCACTCGTCCTCCCTGCCTCCGGACACGTTGGTCTCGCCCGAGAAGGACAAGGAGGGCCTGCTGCGTTCCGAGGCGGACTCGAAGAGGACGGTACCCGGGTCGCGCACGCGCGGGAGCGGCACGTCACGAGGCTCACCTCCGGCCCAGCGACGGACGCCCGCGGTGAAGCGGCCCCGGGAGCCGAGGCGCTCCGTGGGGCGGACGGCGTTGATGCGGGCCTCGGCGGAGAGGTCCGGCTTGTGGACGGCGGACACGAAGAGCACCTTGCCGTAATCGACCTCGGCCTCGAGCGGTACGTCGCGAGGCTTGCCACCGGCCCAGCGACGCCCCCCTGGCGTGAAGCGGTCGCGGGCTCCGAGCCGCTCCATGGGTCGGACGGCGTTGGTGCGGGCCTCGGAGGAAATGTCCGGCTTGTGGACGGCGGACACGAAGAGAACCTTGCCGTGGTCGACCTCGGCCTCGAGCGGTACGTCCCGCGCATGGCCACCGGACATGATGCGCACGCCGCGGGTGAAGGAGCCCCTGGTACCGAAGCGCTCGTCGGGGCGACCGCCAGCGACGTTGAAGGTTGGCAGGTCGGAGAGGTCGGGCTTGTGGACGGAGGTCATGGCGCTGTTGTTGTCGTTGTTGATCGTTGTGATTGCGACGAAGCCTGAATTTTAGCGGGGCAGCGGGCGGAAGGTGGGGGGGGGGGTACTCTTATGTTTTGCATGCCTTAGCGGTTAGACCATTGACCACGTGTCCTCGAGAGGACGGAGCATTGTTCCCACAGGACCGATCACCGATGGCCAATCGTTCCTTCCTACTTGCCAAAGGTTGCTCCAAAATGTCTTCCTTAGTCTATCTATCCTATCGATATCACTTCCCGCCTTGCAATCCACTTCCTACGCCCCAGTACGGCTACCGTCTTTCCTCGCTATTCCATGCCTTAAACCCTGTGTACCTTTTTCTTCTGTTTCGGTTCAGTCATGTGCCCTTCCCTCTCCTTCTTGTACAACGAACACTCTGCAGCTACATGAACCCGGTCTTCGCACTCGGCGTCGCAATCACATTTGAACTTGTCGTCTTCATCGTCTACCTTCCGAAATCTTCGTCTACGGGGGGGGGGGGACAACAAAATGATGAGATACTAGCTCGTGTCGAAACCAGGGTTGATTATCTTGTAGGGATCTTCGTAGGGGTATTGACGGACACACAACCTCCTGTGTGACCCTGGATGGTTGTTGCAGTTGTACGAAAAAATACAATGAAAAGTGCAGTGCTCTACAACACTGAAGGGCACACGTCTCACCACGAATAATGGGGGGACTGTCGCCATAATAAATAGGACGAAAACACAGACACACACACAATAACCAGTAAACACATCTAGAGACCTACTACGATACGTGGAGGGCAGGTGTAGAGGTGTTGTAACCACACATGGTTGCGCATTAGTCTAGTCTACATACAAGAGTACGAACGTTACATCTTCTGAGGAGACAATGTTATTGTTCCTGATGGTTGAGCAGCAAGAGACCGACTGACTATGGATACGACCCTCTTTCAGCGCCACCTGCGGAAATGAGTGGCAGGCCTTCGCTCTTCCCTCTCCCCTCCCCTCCGGGAATACTCTCTCTTTTCTGAGACCTCCTCCATGCCAAATCTCAAGACAGAGAACTGCCAGCCCCGTCAGCGGGAAAAATACTACTGCGACCTGGGTATCCTTCCACCGAGGGGGCCGTGTGGTGTCCTTACTGGCGTCGACGAAGAGATGACTGCTTTTGGTGGAAGAAAATATTCACCGATATTTATCGCCATCCAGATGAATCTCGAATGAATATGGGAACGCAAGGTGTCCACAACGAACGGCGCACTCTCACTTTCACCCTTTCTTGAAACTAGCACGTCCGAGTACCTCGGCCAAGCTTGGCTATTTTACTCGCCACGTATATATATCAAGAGAGAAAAATACCTCCACTCGTGAACGGTTAATCATTGCTTCAGGACTCTCACTCGGTAGAGAGAAAAAGGGTATACCTATTCTCAATCGAAATGATTGTTGAGGGATGGTGGGCTTACTTAGTGTGACATGGGGCGTGAGACCGCTTGTTGTCTGCTTGTTTCCCCCCGAAAACTTTCGCGCAATTTCGGTTGTTGTGATGATGACGCCGAAGGGTACGCAAGCAATTTGAAACAAATAGTGTAAATAAATGCCGTGCAAACACGATTCATTGGCAATTACTTTGAGTACCAAATGTATGCACAAGGGGGAGGGGTACTTCCTTGCGGAAGCAATACAGCCCACCCCTGGTGTAACTTAGGGCAGGTTTGTTTAAGGCGTAGACAAAGGCGTAGACAAAACAAACCGAGGTTTATTGAAACAACTCGAATTGCCATACTGTTTATATTAGGGTACCCGGAACGTATTGCGTACTGCGGGGCCCCCTCGGTCGAGTGGAGGAGTCGCATGTGTGTTACCATTCTGTTCAAGCCTTGTGTCCACAGAGTCTTAGCGTGCCAGAGAGAGAGAGAGTATCGCAGAGATAACTAGCGAGGTGGTCACATACAAGGCTTCTAGTGGTGTGCCAGCCTCTGGAGCTGACAGGAAGTGGAGTCTTTTCTGTGCGCGTAAGATTGGTTCCCTCCACCGCAGAAGAGAGCACCCTCAGTTGCTGTTTGGAGGGAAGAGAGAGGCAGTCTTTATTGGGAGAGAGGCAGAGGCACGATAGAAAGGCCGCAGAAACGTGTCTGCGGGAAACGTGCTCTCTGCCAGTTTGGTGTCTCTCTCTTCCCTCGGGCGGTAGAAAATATTAATAAATGCAATTCGAAAGAAAACAATAAAGAAAGCCAGTTATTAGTAGACTTCTCAAGCAGTCAGTGGTGTGGAGCTGAGCATAGTACATGTCATGTATGGCTCGGGGAACTTTCTATCTATCTGACTGCCAGCTCGTTGAGGGAAAAACACGAGGCAGACGGGATCAAAAAGTTGGACATCACCACACGACCGGAAACAAACGAAAGATAAGCACCGGTCGGTCCAATGGATAAACAAACACAAAACAACGACGAAAAGATCCTCCGTGTGCACCTCCTTTCGTTGTGGCGGTCGGTCACCTGTTCGAGGCCAGCCAACTCGACTCGCGATGCAAGGCACGGCACATGTCCGGGCTACGCAGAGTAAACTCGCATTATAGTCCAAGAGGACCAACCAATCCGAGAACAGTACAGTTAGTTGTAGTCGTCTTGCAGCCCCCTTGTTTCAGCACGACAAAAATTTAGTAGTAGGGGGGGGAAATAAATGCAACAGGCGGCGTAACAGGTCACAGAAAATATCAAACTTTCGCAATCTCCACGAGGAGGAGGGTAGACGAAAACAATCAAATATTGTTGCACTACACCGCCCCCGCGTTCTGCCCTTTCTATGCTATTTGTGTTCATAACTACATCTGCGAACTAGCACAATGCAGGCTCTAGCAGTGTGATGGGCCGGAACGAGGCCGAACATCACGCGTGTACTTGTTTGTATTTATTTCTCCTCCCGGGACTCGAGATAAACAAGAACCGGATTTATTTGAAGGTTCAATGGTTAAAATGTTCACAACAAGGAGAGAGATCTCGTATTTCCACGTTGTTGTTTGTTTTTTGTTTACAGTCAGTTGACGTATTTACCGTGACCCAACTTGTTGCGTGTGGTCTGATCATATAACACATAATAATAGCACTGGTATATCATCGATCTATCTTCGAACGCCGTCGAACACTGGATGGATCGGGTGGTGGGTGTGCTCCGCCGGAAATTGAGCACGGCAGCTCGTCGTCTGTTTTCCTCCTCGACCAAACCGTGGACATTTTTTTTAATTACGTGTTTTTCCGCCTGTAACCTTCGCAGGGTGTTTCGTTCAACCAACCATACACTACGTGTCATGTTAGACAAAGCACATGGCATTGGGGAAGTTGGGTGAGGGATAGGGTCAGGGATTCCGATGGGGTCTGGTTTTGTTCCCCCGCGGCGTCGTATGTGCCGGGTTTTGCGACCACGGGCTCCCCATTTTTGTGGACTAGAGCTAATGTGAGAGAAACAACAACAAACCCTCCTGTTCTATTCGTCATCGCGAAGAAGGCGGTCCTTTACCGCGGGGAATCGAACAACCGCCGTCGGATTTCACCCCCCATCATATCTTTAGTCTACTTGAAACTAATAGGGAGAGGTCGTCGGCACAAGTCTCCAAAGCGACCCAATCCTTGACCTGGGATCGTTGAACGGCTTAGATTCTTATGACAGAAAAATGGCACATATGAATCCTATGTCAGAAACTGGGACTGGTTTTTTCCTCGTTAAAAACCCTAGCAGAATCAATCCCAGGCCGTTCGCCCTTAGCGGTGACCTCGCGTGGCCAAAATGCACGCAAAGCACGATTCTTACGGCTTGCCACGTCGACTTGATGGAATGAATGGCGGCAGCTTCGGTGCAACGCAAAGTTAAAATCGAGTAATTTGAGAGCCCTACATTAAAAAACCGAGGAACTGATGGGAACTGATTGTCTCTTACGCTCACGAAAAATCCCATGCCGTTTCCCCTTAGCGGTTACCTCGAAAAAAAACAGGTTCTCTTTGATACTACGAAGTACCATATTCCAATCACTCGGTCGACGAAACAAAACCTGTGTCCATGGCAATAGGATTGCGCGAGGTGTGATTGGAGGTGTCCTAAATGTAAATAAATGCAAGACGTGTGACCGCCACACAGGGACGGACGCGTTCACGCCGCAGCATATATATGGGTCCGAACAAGTCCGAAGCACACGTATGTCACGGCAGCAGCGCTGCAACATCGCGCGTGGAGGAAGAGGAACACCAGGCAAGGCGTGAAACATCGCTTGGCTGGGGGGTGTGAGTGAGTTATAACCCTCACATTCTTGACACAACAGAGAGAGAGAGAGAGAGAGAGAGAGAGAGAGAGAGAGAGAGAGAGAGAGAGAGAGAGAAGAGAGAGAGCACACCTCCACGTGTTGACATCTCGCAGCGATTTGAAAGACAGTTTACAGTAAGGTTGACAAACGAACGGGATCGCTCGACCGAACTGACAAATTATTCCTCCTGCCACACAGCAACAAACGACGACCCACACTCGAAGTCCCACCAATAAATTTACAAAACCCTACAAAACAAGTAAGGGCAGGATCGACAAAAAAAGGCAAAACTGACAACAACAACAACAATGATGCAATCGTGCACGCCCCGCCCTCTCTCGCTCGATATTTGGGCCAAGCGACACAACGACCGCTTTGGTTCGAACCTATCTATCAGGTTCGACTCTCTATCTATGAGATTCGGTTCTATCTCAGTAGGCCAGCCAAGCGGACCCCGCCGCCGCCTTCCGACAAACAAATGAAGAGCCTCTTTGGTCCATCTGTAACAACGAACCTGGCTTCTAGCAACACGAACCCGCTACGGCGGTGGATTACTCCTACCACTGCGTTTGTTCGGCCTCCACTAGGCGGGGAAATGGCCTCCTCGCCGCCAGTAGCTTCCGAAACACGAACAAGTAGAGGATCAATAGTAGCCAATCCGGTCCTACTAAATATTTAAAAATAGCAGAGCTAGCACGGCTGGTTGTAGACTCCCAGATACTGCTGCACGGCTGGCGCTTGTACTCCCAGGCTGCTGCTTATTAAACCTCAAAACACTCAACTCAACATGGGTCATGCGACGACTCACAGGCTACACCGTGAGGTGGTGATGATGGGAGGACAGAAACGCCGGCCTGACACTTCGTGGGAGTCCGTCCCTACACAACGCACCACGCGGATCAGAGAGGAAGATCGAGGAGAAGAAGAAAAAAAAGCGTCCACGTACACGCACCCGTAGACCGACTCCATTCTTCCACAACCAAGCGGGTGCGGAAAGAGCCCGATACGTCGAAGGAA